ATGGACACTGGGGAAGGTATGTGCTATGGTGAGTGCTGTGAAGTGTGTAAACCTGGCGATTCACAGACCTATACCCCTGGGGCTAATAATACATTATATGTTAATTAAAAAAAATTTTTAATTAAAAAAAAGAAAAAAAGGTAAACACAAGTCTGAGAATGTTAACATGATCAAACTGTGTCATTATCACCAACCATTCTTCACTGGGGTCCTGGGGAGGAGGTATATCTTTTTCAGAAAGATTTTCTTCATCATCATCTCTTTCTGCTGCCTTTCTAGAATCTCTATTGGCACCAAACACCTCCATTTCTTTGTGTTTATCTATGATCTTCTGTGTGAAATCCACAAGGTACAAATCTTCCACTTCTTCATCTAAGACAGAAAAATCAATTTTCAGATTTTTTTTTTGAAGATTTTATTTATTTATTTGACAGATAGAGACACCAGTGAGAGAGGGAACACAAGCCAGGGGAGTGAGAGAGGGAGAAGCAGGCCCCCCGCCCAGCAGGGAACCCAATGCAGGGCTCCATCCCAGGACCTTGGGATCATGACCTGAGCTGAAGGCAGTCACTTAACGACTGAGCCACCCAGGCGCCCCAATTTTTAGATTTTTGATTCTTTTCAAAGCAGACGGAACTGCTATGAAGTGGTCACAGTCACCGCTGGGCAGCTAGCCCTGGACAGTTCACTAGTTGATGCATTCACTACCCCTTCCTCCCCCTGAACACTTCAAAGACACGGAGCCATCACAGACCTGACAGGGAAGCGGCAAACAGGCCATCAGAAACACAGACCACACAAAAAATTCTTGCAAGTGCTTAAAGTCTTCTGCTGACCCATCAACAGGATAAGTGAGCAATACGGTCTCAGAATGCAATTTTAAGATCAAACCACTTGATCTCAAGAGACCCATCCACCCGGTGACATGTCGATGTAGAACTACAGTGATCATCTTGCCGGACCGGAGCAACAGACCTTTGTTGCTACGTATTCCTCCCCAATCAAGGGGCTACCTTACTTAACCCTAATTACATTGCGGTGGTACGGTGTTTTTTAAGCGTCACTGTATAGGGTAAACAAAGTCATCTGAATTCTTTTCAACCCAACGAACAGCACCTTCAGGCAAGGCATGGTGCCAGGATCTGCAGGGCACACAGAGATGTGTGGCTTGTGACCTCCTGAGCTAATACACTGGAAGTTAAATAACACTCCATGACTTTAATTTAGCCCAGGACAGTTGATGTATGCACAATAAGGTTCATGTGAAGTGTCACTACACTGGATTTTATAGAGCTGCTTCAGTTTTTCTGAGGACTGTATTGTGCTGTGTGGGGCAGATACTATCCTAGTATCTGGTGTTAAGCCCCAGCATACAGGGGAGAATAACTGAGGCTCAAAACTCAGCTTGCCCAAACACATAGGGACACTATGCCCATCAGAAGGTAAGCCCGCTGTTTTGGACCACATCCCCACATCCACAGGCCTTTGGACCTGGTCTCTAGAGTAACAATGCAAGTCAAGTCTGAATCAAAAGTAAAAGATTTTAATTTTTCTTAAAGCCACAAAATAACTCACATAACAAAGAGATGTACTTTCCCAGAGCAGAGTTATAAGACCACGTAATAGTGAGGCCTCCTGGTTAACGGACACCCTGCTGCTTCTTAAGGAAGAAGACAGGGCCTCTCTTCTGTACCCTAGCTTTAAGAGTGCCTGACTCTCCAACACGGGGCTCAAGTGCCATGCAGGGTACATGCCTCTGCCATCCGGGAAGAGGGAGTTTGGCTTTGTGGGTAGCCAACAACCAGGGTTCTGGCCCTGCCTCTCCTGCTGCCCCACTGCCCCCTTTTCCAGCCCATTGGGCCCAGTCACACTAGTCCATCCTGCCAACACTGGCCCTCTCCTCCCTCTGCAGATCTGCTCTCACCACTCTCCCGCTGCAGAATCCTTTCTCCAGCTATTCAAAGCCTTTAAGACCCTATCAGAGCCTACCTTCTCCCTAAAGACTTCCCCAAATGCCTTTTGGCAATAAAATACACACTGCCTTGTAAAATCTCTTCTATTAGGGCGCCTGAGTGGCTCAGTTGGTTACGCTTCTGCTTTCAGCTCGGGTCATGATCCCAGAGTCCTGGGATGAAGCCCCGCATCAGTCTCCCTGCTCGGCAGGGAGTATGCTTCTCCCTCTGCTCTTCCCACTCTCTCTCTCTCTCTCTCTCTCAAATAAAAGAAAATAAAATCTTAAAAAAATAAAAAATAAAAAAAATAAAATCTTTTTACTTCTATCTAACTGTAGACTGGGTTTTACTTTTCTGGACAGTATGAGGAAAGGGGGATCTTTTTATTATTTTAGAAGCAATTACAGGCCCATCAGAGAAAAAATAAAAAACGGAGAAAAGGAAACATAACTTCAACACCCTGTATACCCATAACTCCTCCTAATCTTTTTTAACATAGCTATAATAGTTTATAATGGTAGTCTCTTTGGACCTCGTTTCCTACCTTTCTTCTACACCACTGGCCTCCATTGTTGATGACCCCCTTGAGGGCAGAGGCAGAGAATCTTGTTTGTTCTCTCACAGCACCTAACATAGCCTGGAACATGCTGGGCAATCAACAATTATTGCGGATTTTCTGGTCTTGCCAGCACAGAAAGTAATCTGTATTATTCCTTAAATTTCCTCCCCATTCTTATGGTTATTCTAACAAATAACAAAATATTACAGGGCTGTATGAGTTACAGAAAATAGAGAAGTATAAATAAATTATTGTATTTACCTATAAAGTCTCCTTTAGTCATTTTTTCATATAATTTGGCTTTTTCTTCCAATTTCTCCCTAGAAGAAAAAAAAGACAAGTATTAGAAATGGTCCAACACCAGCCATTCCTGCTAAGCCTGCCTGACTGTGACGCCCTGCACCAGAGAAGCCCAGTCTGACGGTGCGGCAGCTGTAACTTGAGCTAACCACTCTGCCTTAAGGGGACCCTCAGACCCAGTGACGCCTAATTTGCCGACTAAATGTCAGGCCCATGTTTCTCTTATTCATGACTGTATCCCAGGGCCTAAAACAATACCTGGCACAAGTTCTCAATCAGTACCTGAAAATAAATAATGAAGTAAGATTCCAGATGCAAATGCCAAGTGCAACCTGAATTAAATACCAAAAAAAAGGAGATATTTAAACAAAAACATTTTCTATATACAATCTTCCAAACAGATCACCAAATTCAATGTAAACTCTCTGCATTACTGTTTTCAGACAAGGGTCCCTGATCGTCTATGGCTTATTAGGCTTCTCTAAGGGGGCTAAAGACCAACTTCTTCTAAGTCTCTTAAAAATATAATACCTGACAAATGAGTGATCCGAAGGGGCACCCGCACCCCAATGTTTATAGCAGCAATGTCCACAATAGCCAAACTATGGAAAGAGCCCAGATGTCCAACAGATGAATGGATAAAGAAGATGTGGTATATATACACAATGGAATACTATGCAGCCATCAAAAGAAATGAAATCTTGCTGTTTGCAATGATGTGGATGAAACAAGAGGGTTATTATGCTAAGCAAAATAAGTCAATCAGAGAGAGACAATTACCATATGATCTCACTCATGGGTGGAATTTAAGAAATAAAACACAATCATAGGAAAGAGAGGAAAAAATAAAACAAGAGGGGCGCCTGGGTGGCTCAGTGGGTTGGGCCTCTGCCTTCAGCTCAGGTCATGATCTCGGGGTCCTGGGATCGAGCCCCGCATCGGGCTCCCTCCTCAGCGGGAGGCCTGCTTCCCCCCTCTCTCTCTGCCTGCCTCTCTGCCTACTTGTGATCTCTCTCTCTGTCAAATAAATAAATAAAATCTAAAAAAATAAATAAATAAAACAAAACAAAACCAGAGAGGGAGACAAACCATGAGAGACTCAATCATAAGAAACAAACTGAGGGCTGCTGGAGGGGAGGGAGATGGATGGATGGGGTAACTGGGTGATGGAGGGCATGTGATGTAATGAGCACTGGGTATTATACAAGACTGGTGAATCACAGACCTGTGCCTCTGGAACCAATAATACATTATATGTAAATTAGTTGAATTTAAATTAAAGGATGTTAAATATATATATATATATATATATATATATATATATATGATATGTGTTTTATACAGAGCATGAACAATTTGTTCATGACACATAGCTAATAAAAAACAAACATCAGCCCTGGTATTTCTTTTCTTTTTTTTTTTTTAGGCAGAGAGGCAGGCAAAGAGGGGAGGGGGAAGCAGGCTCCCCGCTGAGCAGAGAGCCCGACGCGGGGCTCGATCCCAGGACCCCGGGATCATGACCTGAGCCGAATGCAGAGGCTTCAACCCACTGAGCCACCCAGGCACCCCCAGCCCTGGTATTTCAATAAAGCCGCCTCTCTGCTCATGTTAATTCTGGTGACATTTATTTTTTTAGTGGGCACAGACCAAGACAGCTGGCAATTCTTTATTCTAGAAATACTTAATGATGGTAAAGAGAAGTCCCAAAAAGGTCACCTGAGCTTTTGCTTGTGAGGAATCACACTTAATCACAATGGAAAACTTCATTTCTTTTTCTTTTTTCTTTCTTTCCTTTTTTTTTTTTTAAAGATTTTATTTATTTGACAGAGATCACAAGTAGGCAGAGAGGCAGAGAGAGAGAGAGGAGGAAGCAGGCTCCCTGCTGAGCAGAGAGCCCGATGCGGGTCTCGATCCCAGGACCCCGGGTTCATGTCCCGAGCCGAAGACAGAGGCTTTAACCCACTGAGCCACCCAGGTGCCCCTCTTTTTCTTTTTTCTTAAAGATTTTATTTATTTGACAGGGAGAGAGATCACAAGTAGGCACAGAGGCAGGCAGAGAGGGGGAAGCAGGTTCCCTGCTGAGCAGAGAGCCCAATGTGGGGCTCGATCCCAGGACCCTGAGATCATGACCTGAGCTGAAGGCAGAGGCTTAACCCACTGAGCCACCCAGGCACCCCGGAAAATTTCATTCCTAATGGTGTTCTGAGACAATAAAGTCCCTTGGTCACATGGCTATGTGCTCTGGAACAAATTACTTCACCTTTCTTGTAGCCCCAATTCCTAAATCTGGAATAGATAAAAAAAAAAAAACACTGCCTCTTAGGATTATCACGGAGAGTATCTAGACCACACACGAGAGCGTGCCATCAGTTATGTTATCTGCTTCTCTGCCATCTGGGTCAGAAAGAGTCCTCTCCCGTTTTGCACATTCATTCAACAAGTACTGCTTCCATGTCTCCTTCCTTCCCCATGCTCACAGAGTTCTTCTTATAGAAGGGGAGAAGGACAATAATAAATCAATGAGAATGAGGATTTTGGACAAGTGCTGAGAAGGGGAGGAAATAAAAGCAGCTGTCACCACTAGAGGCCCTTCAACTTCCAAAAGGTTAACTTGCCCTATATCGGGGGGGCTTACTGTAATAACCTGTGTAGAATCTTACTGTTTCCATGAAAATAACACTTTAATTAAAAAACAAAACACAAAGAGCAGGCGTCAGGACAGAGTAATTGGTGGACACTAGAAAAGTTAGCTGGGGAAAACCTCTTTGAAGGTGACACTTGAGCTAAGGTCTAGAGAGAAAAAGTCCACCATGACAGGATCTTGGGAAGAAAGCAAGTGAGGCAGAGTAAAGAGGAGGTGGGAATGAGCTCGATATGTTCAAGCAGAGACCAGAGCTGTGGAGGATGCTGAGCACAGAAGAGAGGGCACAAAATAAGGACAGAGAAAGGCAGGTACATCAAAACGTGAGAAAGGATATGGAGTCTGGATACAGTGTAACAGAAGATGGCGGGAGAGTCTACAAGTGAGTAATGGAGATCAAGGAAGATGTCCAGAGAAATGGCCACTGGATTTAGTAGAGGAGGAAGTCATTAGAGACTTCAAAGAAAAATTTCTTCAGTAAGGAAGATGGAATTCAGAGGGCAAGAGTATGAATAGTTATCTGGAACCACTCTGTGCCAGGCACTACGTAGTATCTCCTTTAATCCCCTCAAGAGCTCCGAGAGCAGAGTAGACACCACCTCACTTCATAGATAAGTCTCAATGGAGAAGTAACTTGCCTAAGGCCTTATCCCCTTCTGGAACTGCCCCTGTCTGTTCTGAGCTCCAGGAGACGCAGAAGTCCTGCCGACCAAGGAAAGACTTGACCCCTCACAAGTGCAGAGAAGCCAAAGTATTACATTAACAGGTCACTGGACAGAAAAAATCATAGCAAAGTATCTGGGAAAACATTTACAAATGTATAAATGAAAATTTACCTTTCAACAAATTAGATTTCTGAGAATATGTCCAGGAGGTGAGAAAGATGTCTCAAAAACTAATATACCCCAAGTCTGCTGGGAATAGGTCAATGCAAAGAAAAACAGTGTCCCAAATGTGCTAATATTCTCTTTTTTTCAGACCCAGAAGAGCTGAGCAACCTTAGCGACCACTGTTTGCAACTGTAGTTTTTATTATGCAATAAATCAAAAGCACATGAGTCATGACAGACATTAAAACTTGGGATTCTCAGGGTGCCTGGGTGGCTCAGTGAGTTAAGCCTCTGACTTCGGCTCAGGTCATCTCAGGGTCCTGGGATCCAGCCCCATATCAGGCTCTCTGCTCAGCAGGGAGCCTGCTTCCCCCCCCCCCCCCCCCCCCCCCCCCCCCGCCTGCCGCTCTGCCTACTTGTGATCTTTCTGTCAAATAAATAAATTAAATTAAAAAAAAGAACAAAGGTGATCATTTCATTAAAAAAAAAAAAAAACGGGATTCTCTCTAAATTTAGGGTGACACTGCAAATAAGGGAGAGTTCTTCTTTACAGAGGAATGCCAGTTAATAAATGGAATGAAAATAAAGATAAAGATGGAATTAGAAAAGAAAGAATTAGAAAAATCATCACTTAGAGATCACCAATGTAATAACTATGTGGAAATATGTTGGTGAACAAGATATTCATAACCTCAGTTTCCCTCCTTAGATTATTAATTACAAATGGGGAAGAGCACCTTTACAGTGGAAAAATCTAGCAGGCCTTTCTTAACCAACTGATCAAACTTCATCACCAATAACAACTCAAACTGACAATGTGAGCCTCCTACTGTGATCCAACAGGAAGAACACATCATATACATTTTATTCTTAACCAGAAACAGTTAATGTGACTGTAATCATACACTGTAGAGCAACAGGCCTGGACTCTTCAAGAACAGCAATGGGATAACAGACAACAAAAAGGCCTGGGAATTAGTCTAGATTAAAGAAGACTAAAGAAATACACCATCAGGGTGCTTGGCTGGCTTAGTTGGAGGAGTGTACAATTCTTGATCTCAGGGTTGTGAGTTTGAGTCCCACGTCAAGTCTAGAGATTACTAAAGAAAAAAATAAATTAACTTAAAAAAAAGAGAAAGTCATGCTATAAACAAAATTTCTCCCCCTTAAAAGAGAAAAATAAAAATATGAAAGCTAAATGCAATGTGCAATCTTTGAATTCTAGATTAAATTAAAAAAACAAAACAAAACTATGAAGGACTTAATTGTACCAGGATAACTGGTGAACTCTGCCTATAGACCATAAAATAGATATTATTTTATTAGTATTAAATTTCATGGGTATGATAGCATTATTGTAGTGATGTAGGACAATGTCCTTGTTCTTGGGAGATATATACTGAAATATTTTGAGGCAAAGTATCATGATGTTTAGCAAAGTTTATCTACGTACACATACACCAAGACAGGAGAGAGAAGAGAGAAGCAAAAGCAAACGTGGAAAAACATTAATTGGTGAACTTAGGTAAAGAGTATTAGAAGATTCACCGTGCTCTTCTTTCGATGATTTTGTTGTTTTCAAGCTTTTAAAAATAAAAAGGGGGATAATTTAGTTTCTAAATGCTACTGTAATATTACTTAGTGTCCCAGAACCACACCACCATGTGGACACTTCTTAAACACTTGATGACCATCTTAGTGCCTAATAAAGGCTCAAAATGGGACTCTTGTTTCATCTTTCAGACTAAGGTTATGTCTTCTCTTCTTAGAAGACTACAAATACATCTGCAAATTATATTATTTTCAGAGTCTATTTTATATTTATAGAGCATATGGCTGAAAAAATGACAAAATTAAAACTGTTAACCCAGAAGTGTAAAAGTGGAACTCTCACTTCTCTGCTTGGGTAGCCTCAGAGGCAACTATAGTTAGCAGAGCTTAACTTTACCTTGCTTTGTCTAAAGTCTTCTGTTCCTCGATCTTCTGTTCTGTATCCTTCTCAGCTCGATTTGAAACTCCTGCATTCTGTTTGCTCCAGATACTGGGTTTCTGCAGCATATTTATTTAAAAAGACAAAATAGAACCATGTGATTGCAAAAAAATCTCTACTTACACATCAGAAGAAAAACGGATTAAATTTACGAATCTATGAAGAAAACTAGATCTGAGAGCCAACCTTTGTCATGCAGATAGACTATACAAGGAAAAGCTAGTGCTGAAAAAAAAAAGCCCTAAATTATATAAAGAATTCCTTTACACAACTACAGAATTACTTCTCTCTTATCTCCTGAATGATTACAACTTAATTCAATAGATTAACAGAAGTGATGAATATCATAACCTAGTCACAACTCTTAAAGACCCTGATATTTTCTGCTATATTACTGTATCATCTAATTGTTTATCTGTTTGTATTAATAATACCTATACAGCTGATCTTTCATAAGAATGTACACAAACCACTAATTAAAACTCGCACTCTTACAAAAGAAGTGCTGTGTAATTACAGTATTATAATGTGCTTTTAAATGCTCTAATTTCTATTTTAATATAAAACATTTTATGCAGATGTTCAGCTACCAGGGATTTTCTCTTAATTTTTATATGTAGCAGAGAAGGACATTTTAAAAAAAACTCGGTATAATTTCCCCATGTTTGGAATTAATGGAGATAACTAAATCTTATTTTTACCTTATTAGTTGTTTTTGGTTTTCCCAAAACTCCGGAATCTTTTAGAAGCTTTTCTTGTTTGAATTCTTCTTGTTTTCGGAAGAGTTCAGCCTTAAGGTCTACCAACTAGAATAAAACCAATGAGCAAACATTTAGTTAATTTTAATGAGTGACTAGATTTCCAAATTATTGTAATTCTCAAAGCAAAACTTAAAGTTCCTATAAATGCACAAAAATGGATACAAAATTAAATGTCTGTGAATGCATAATCCAGTACAAAATAAAACCAAGTCCTACAGCATTCCAGTTCTCTTGGTAATGTATTTCTACCCTAACCTTCAATACTGGGCTAAGGGGAATGTGATTAAGCAAAGTAAATGAAGTCTGCACTTGTTAGATTCAGATTGAACTAAAAACTTTAAGGGGCATCTGCGTGGCTCAGTCGGTTAAACAGCTGCCTTCGGCTCAGGTCATAATCCCAGGGTCCTGGGATCGAGTCCCACATCAGGTTCCTTGCTCAGCGGGAAGCCTGCTGTTCCCCCTGCTTGTGCTTTCTCTCTGACAAATAAATTATTAAAAAAAAAAATGAACTAACAATTTTAAATATCTTCTCCATGCCTGACATTGTACTTGGCTTTTTTATATTGTAACCTCATTTAATCATCACAATTTATTATTTCTGCAGAAAAATATCTTTGTTCAACTATCTGAGCACTAAAGAGCAGCATACAAACATGAAATAGACACTCTCGTGCCTCAAAGAGTTACAACCTATTTTTTTTTTAAAGGTAACTTATAATATCAGTAAAATGTAATAAATGACTTTAGAAGTGAAAGAAAACAGGGACACCTGACTGGCTCAGTGGGTGAAGCATGAGACTCTTGTTCTTGGGTTGTGAGTTCCAGCCTCACATTGTGTGTAGAGATTACTTAAAAATAAATCTTTAAAAAGGGGTGGTGGTGGTGGAAGAAAAAGCACAGAAGTTCAGCTACAGGGGCATTTCCTTCTGTCCACAGTGATCAGAGACAGCCTTGAGCTGAGCCTTAAACGATAGGTGAGGGGCGTGTGACTGGCTCAGTCAAAAGAGAGCACAACTCCTAGATCTCAAGGTCATGAGTTTGAGGTCCATGTTGGGTGTAGAGATTACTTAAATAAATAAACTTTTAAAAAAAACATCGGCAAGATTTCAACAATTAGAAATAAAGTGGACTGAGTGAATGAGAAGAGCTCCAAGTTTATGTATGTTCTGGAAACTCTAAGTTTGGTTGAATCACTGGGTTCAAAAACAGGAAAGAACAGGGCTCTTGGGTGAATATCCATGCCTACCTCTCACTTATACCAATCACCACTGTCTACTCTGCAAAGAAATACAAAATGCCAGTTCCTTTTTTAAAGGTCCGGATACAGCTCCCTATAAATCAGATACTTATAGAACCCGGCATCACAGACCGACTTTTAAGGGAAATCAAAATGACTGAGTTCAATGACTTCTATTTTGGAAGACACCAATTTAAAAGCAGCCTTGGCAGGGATTTAATAATGCTAACGGCAGTTTCATCCTAAGACCTAATACCCTAAGTTTCTAAACACAAAAACTTTGGTTCCTTCTTCTGAGCTTTCTTAACTGCAACAATTTTATAGCCACACATTTTCCTCTTCTATGACCACTTTTGAGTTTTAAAAGGAAGATGCTCTGAAAACTGTCCATTTCCAGATGGCATTTCTACTATGGTTACTGCTTATTTTAACCTGTCAGATAGAATAACCTTAATATTTCCAGCTTTTTGGTTCCTTATGCTGAACCCTAATAACCAGTGCTCATTTTCAATATGAGACAAGAAAAAGAGACTCAAATATTGGGACACGTAGTAGTTTTCCTTTGCACTCCTTTTGCATCCTAATATTTTGCAGTAAACTGAAGATTAAATCAAATATTAGGCAATTTGCTCTGATGTAACAGAAAAGGCAATAGCTTTGGTGAGGAACAGCCTGAGTGCACCAGTTCTATCGCTAAGAATTCTGTATGTAAGCTGGGAAAAGCCACCTCCTTTACTGGGCCTCAAATTTATCCTAGAAAACACGAATATTAATAGCACCTACTCCCTAATGCAGCTGGGAGAATTCAATGAGATAGTGCACAGAAACGTACTCCAGCAGGTTTTCTCCCTAGAAGTAGCTAATTTAACAAAACTGCTTACATCCTGCTAGACCTTACAACCCGCAGGCACTGCAACCTATGGGTGCATTCACACTGTTTAGCTCCTGGTCGGGACGCTGGGCGCTCTCGGCTCCCCGGGAATAAGTCACCCTCCCTCATGTTCTGGGAGGCCCCTTCTAGTCCGTGGAGTGGAAAGGAAACGAGGAAGGCGGTTTGTGTCTGTACAGCAAGCACAGAGGGAGAAAGGACTGGCAAGGAGGCCTGGACGGGTGGCCGCAGGGGGAAGGCAGGGACACTCAAACAGGAAAAGACACCAGGTTCAGGTCTGTATCTAAAGAGGGAATCCTGGTCCTGTATCCGAGGGGAGAAGCCAAGTACCGCGTCCTGCAAGTAAGAAAGTTGGCCCGAGTCCCCAACCGAGAAAAGCCAGGTCCGGGTTCCTGTCTGAGGGAAGGCCAGGTCTGGGTCTCCCGAGTGAAGAAACAAGGTCGAGATTCTTGTCTACTGGAGATGAGAACTCGGAGCCCCGTAGCATCACCTGTACCCGCACTCACCGAGGAGGCCGTAACATCCAAAGGCTTTTTCCTCCGGTCCATTCTGCCGCCAGCGTGTCTCAGCAAAAAACTGAACCCGCCACTGTCTCCTGCAGGCCTCAAATGCCTGCGTTCCGCACAACCGGAAGAGTCTGTAATAATAGCGACAGTAAGTATGCGACGCTGGCGCCATCTTGGAAAGGTCAGATGTTGTGCGTATTGCGCCTGCCACCATTTTGAGAGAGTCAAAGAATGCCCAGTGTTAAGGCCATCTTGAAGAAAGAGAAAGGATAATAAGAGTTAGTGTTGGCACCATCTTGAGAAGGGCGGAATGTCGCTTTCGGAGCGTTGGGCGCCATCTTGAGTGGGGCGGATTTGGCGTTGGGTGGCGCCATCTTGGGGAGGGCGTAGTGACCACAAACATTCTTCGTTGTGAAAAGAAAGGCGGGTTGGTAGGACTGGAAAGATCTAAATGCCTTTTGAAGACCTGCAGTATGACTGGCACTGTCTGGTGCTTCTCATAGGTTAACTTATTTAATTCTCACAAGAACCATATGTGATTATATTATATAAGATTATTATATTAATCTTGGTAGAAATAACAATAATAATAGGTAACATGAATATAGTGCTTACTATGTGCCACTTTACATATTTCAGCTGGTAAGAACATGAACTCCAGAGGCGAGTTTCCTGGTTTCCAATTGCACTTACTGGCTATGTGACTTTGGGAAATTTACTTCTCTGTGCCTCAATTTCCAAATGGGAATAAAGTATCTACTTCATGGGATTTAATGAGAGTGAAATAAGTTAAATGAGCTAGTGTTGGTAAAAATATTAATGATTGTATTAGACAGCCTAATGACCCCTGGTCAAAGGTGTCCATCTTTTAATGTCCAAAACCTCTGAATATGTTACCTCTGTGGCAAAAGGGAATTTGCAGCCATGATTAAATTAAAGATCTTAAGATAGGGAGATTATCTGGATGGGCCCAATGTAATCAAAAGGGTCCTTATAAAGGAGGCAGAAGGATCAAAGACCACATGCTAGGGAAAACAGGCAGTCTCTAGAAGGAAAAGAAGTCCTCTTCCAGAACCTCTAGGAGTATAACCATGACACCTAGGTTCTAGCCTTGTAGTGATTCTGCACCCCAGTTCAATGTGTGCAGGTCTTCCCACCACCAAGCAATTCTCCAGTGGCAGCTTTGTTCTACAATTCAACTCAATTCTGAGATTATCTAACTGGAGATAGCCTCAGATCCTATAGGTTAAGAGCTCAGTCCTACAAGGGTGCCTTCACTTCAGATAGATACAGATTCCAAGTCCTGGCTGTCACCTGTGCTTCTAAATTGGAGGTTCCAATGAACCCCTCCTTGGGTTTGATTGATTTATTAGAGCAGCACACAGGGCTCAGAGAAACATTACTAGATTACTGGTCTATATTATAAAAGGATGTAATTCAAGAACAGCCAGATGGAAGAGATAAACTAAGGCAAGGTATGTGGGAAGGGGGATGGAGATCCCTTGCCCTCTTTGAGAAAGCTACAAATCTCCACAAATCTTTATATGCTCACAAACCTGGAAGCTCACCAAAATCTGTCTTTTTTTAGAGGCTTCATTACATAGGCATGACTGATTAAATCATTGGCCATTAGTGATTGAACTCAATATCCAGCCCCTCTCCCCTCCACGGAGGTCAGAGGTGGGACTGAGCATCCCAACCCTCTAATCATACCTGGGGTTATGGTTCTCCAAGCAACCAGCCCCTATCTTTCAGTGCTTTCCAAAAGTCACTCATCAACATAACAAAAGACTCCTTTATTGCTGTCTTCCCTTAGGAAATTCCAAGGGTTTAGGAGTTCTGTGCCAGGAACTGAGCTGAAGACCAAATGTATATTTATTATAAATCACAATATCACACTTTGTAGGGCTCATTTCAGACTTCCGAATCTCCAGAACCATAGAATTTATGTTGTTTTAAGCCACTAAATCTGTGGTAATTCATTATGAAATAGTTTAAAAGCACAAAATTGAACAAAAATCAAAATGGCTGCACTAATCCTTCAACGAGGCTTAATTTTAAACTAAACAACCTTTTCTTCTCTTCCCCAAACCTCCTCTCCTCCCTTCTTAGCTTTTTTGTTTCAGGAACCTCATATCACCCCCGAAGACATGACAAATGAGGCTGGCGGCACATACACAATTCCTGTCAAAACCAGCTAGATCCTGATTTCCCTAGAAAACACCTCAGCCCAGATCCTTTGGGAGGGCTTGCAGTTTTGAAGGCCTTAGCCTGCTGCAGCCTCCTTTGCCTGGCAAAGCAATAAAGCTGTCGTTCCTCTTAACCCCAAACTCTCCATGCGTTCTATTTTGGCTCTGAGGCACTGAGGTCAGTTTTCAACAACAGCTACCATAGGAATCTGATAGAAGTGATGAGTTTAGCAGTAGCACTAGTGGATGTCAGGCATATGTGTAACTCTTTTCATGTGTTATCTATCTGGCTTAATCCTTGGAATAATCCCAGAGGTGGTAGCTATTATCCCCATTTTACAGAGGAGAAAAACAAGACTCAAGAAGTTAAGTGACATGCCAGAGGGCCTTTGCCAGCTAGCTTGTGCTGGAGCCTAGAGTCAAAGAATAACTCAAAGACTCTGGGTTAATTTTGTGCACACTACTTCCTTGTCAAGAGGGGAACCATCTGAAAATGGCTAGAAAGGAATTACATAAAAGAAAGAGGGGAAAGGGGAGAAGGAGAAGACAAAGATGGACTGGAAATCATGAACTTTAATTTTCTTGCCCAGCTGACTGCTGGCAATGATGCCATTCAGGGGGTTCTGATCTTGGGCAGCTGGAAAGAAAGTTTAGTTATTTATGGATGCCCAGAAGACCTCAAGGGTTTAGCTTTCTCTGTGTAATGCCTGCCATGGTCCTTCGCTGTCATCCTCATGCTCATTAGGCAGGTTTATACCATCACCTTTACCAGAAGTTCTCACCAGAGTGGCATCCAGCTGACTTTAATTACCTACCAAGCCACTGAAATTACTAAGGAAAAAAAAAACAATGAACCTCCTTTACTTCCCTCAGCCTCACACACTTCAAGGTCTGGAGAAGAAGGGAAAGCTTCATCTTGGACTGACCGAAATGCTCTCCGAGCACACCCGTGATTTTTCCCATATCTGTTTCCTCAAATTCTTCCTTCGATGCTTTCCAAACGTCTGGGTCCATCTGGAATTGCCTTCTGCTACCAAATACGAAAATTGAGGCCACAGCCCCTTATGTTCTTTACCAGGTCATTCTCTTCACCGGGTGTCATCTTGTCAACCGGATCCCAGACCACACACCACAGACCTGGGTTTGTTCTGGAGGAAAAGAGGCAGACGGGGTACTCCAGCCTGGTGAGAAAGAGCACAGGTTTTCCTCCAAGGAGCCTGGGATTGATCCCAGCTGCACCCCTTCAGTTACCTCGAGAACGTCGCCTCACCCCTCTGTGCCTCAGCTCTTGCACCCGGTTGGACCCACAGGATGTTGGAGATCCAGGGTACAGAAACGGTTTGCCAGCTGACAGGCGCTGTGCATGCATCACTTGCAGAATACGGAAGTTTTGCTCAGTGCTGATTTTCTCACAGCAGAAGGCACACACTTGAAGACAGTCTGTGTTATGACGCTGCATATTTTGCAGCGTTCTGAGGTCCATTTTGTCCCCCTGCTGAGTCCCCAGGGGGTGGGACTGGGTGGGAGACCAATTATCTTCTTCCTGCTCATCTCTTAAGTGGATTTTGTCAAATCTCCTAGGCGCTTTAAAGAAGGGGGAGAGAGGAGACTTCCTGAAACACACAGCAGCTAGTTCCCTGTGGACACGGCCACCAAGCCACGCTCTTATTTTTAAAGGGGGTCCTGGAGTCATTTTTTCCAACACGAAGTCTCAGAGCCGCTTAGTTGCAGGCTGTCGCCTGTGTTGCTATGTGAGGCTTTAATGGGCAGTTAAAAGGTTCTTCGTCCCACCCCCCTTTTGGCATGTGTACCATTTTTCTACATATCCTGTTTCCTCAGACTAAAAATGTGCCTCTCCCCCATGAGTCCAGCCCTTAGCGTCTTAACCTTTGGTCTGTCTCCAGAGCACTGCCTGTGATAATAAATTACTCAGCACTGGATGAATTAGCCGAACCCAGTGGGTGGAAAAGATTAGGTTGGACCTAAGGAAATTAGGTTCTAAGCACAGACACAGGATGAGGCAGAAAGATACCGAGACTTGGGCCCTGGATGACGAAGAAACTAACCTTTATTGGCATCAGGCCTCAAATTGGTTGTTGGCAAGATCTCACTGAATCCCCACAATGACTTCAAGAGTATGTATTGTTATTATCCTTATTTTGTAGATGAGGAAACGGAGAGCCAGAGATGTTAAGTAACTTGACTAAGGTCACACAGCTAGTCTTGGTCCCAGGATTCGAACCCAGGCAGCCTAATTCCAGAACATCACACTGTCTTCCCGCAGTGCATTTCCATTCATTCATTTATTCATTCATCCATTTAACTCTACTGAGGAAGGGAGAAAATGTTATATAAGAGCGGACCCCAGAATATTTCTGAAGGAGGCACCTGTCATTAGGTCACTGTGGGTGCAAGGGGCCCAGCAGGTGAATACCAGCAGAAGCCTGAAGGTACAAGCTAGGGTGGGACAAGGATTATCTGGTGGTCTGGAAAACCCACCTGAGCTTGCAAATCTGGGGTAAAGGGATGGTGAGTGGGGCTTGTCCTGCCACCTGGGAAATTGGTGCTTGAGGCCACAGTTGAACACAAGGGGTACAAAGAATTCTACAGCCTGGAGAAAAAGGCCCATCATGGGGTCCTGAGTGTTGCCCTCAACCTCAACCAGTGCCTCTGAGGAGAATAGCAGGGGAAGATGCCTTACCACACTCAACCCCACCCCTACACCATCCCCACTGGTGGGAGGGAGCAGGGGGGCCTGAAGCCAAATGAGGGGCTCCAGAGAGGGGGCACAGAAGGCAAGTCAGGGACCTGGCAATGCTTGGGTCGGGGTATCCCTCTGAGGATGGTAAAGGCCATGAAGTGGGACAAAGCAGACCCTTCCTTCCGGCCCCGTGGTAGTTTCCCAGGCCCAAACTTGGTGGCTTAAAACAACATATATTGTCTCACAGTTCTGGGGGATGGAAGTCTGAAATCAAGGTGCCAGCAGGGCTACAGCCCTACGG